TTTCCAAATTTTCTAGTCCAATTTAGACCTTCCTGCAATTGCTTCTGCTGCCGGTAGTCAAAGTTCTCGATCACCATCCACGCAAAACTCACTAGCTTCTACCAGGTAAGGGCTAGCAATGTTGTGTGTGTTTTGGGTTTTTTTTAAGTTGAAGTTTAAACCAGCAAAATTAGTCCCTAAATGACAGAGTTCCTCGCTCCTGAAGGTCTTCCCAATCTTGTCTCTACTTCCTGAACACTATAAAAAACTTTCTCCTTACATAGTCCCACCTTTAAGTATACTAGATTTTTCTAGCACACAATTAAGTTTACTTCAGCATCATTTATGTTCAAATAAAGCAGTAATTGCACAACAATTACATTTACTTTTGCTAACTATGCTCTAATTAAAATGTGGTTTCACATTATCAAAGCACAGGTTTCAGCTCCAGCCACACTTTGCACTCATTAGTGTGAGCTCCCTTCCCTAATCAGCTACAATCTAACACTGCTACAGGTAGGTTAAGTGATTAGTGGTAATGCCTACAACGATCTCTGTAGGGGATCTTTACCTAGAATAAACACTGCTGCTGGGTGGCTTTATTGTAAGCCACCATTAGAAGCTCTAGTTTAGATATAGGGATTGCTGTATATTGATGAGTTAATTTTTTGTCTTTCAGATCCTCCAGAAGCACAAGTTCAGGCTCTAGTCAAACTTCATCACTCAAAGTCATAGATCTGAGCCTGCCTATCAACACTCCTGCAGAAGCAGCTGCTGTTGGTTCACAGCTATCCAGCAGAGCTAGCACCTCTGATATTTGTAAATACAAAAAAAAGTCTTAAGTAATCTTTTGGAGGTAAAGGCTTCACACCAGTTAAGGCTTCTTAATTGATTAATCTGTAACAACTTATTTATCAAGATATATTAGCAATCTTAGCATTAATTTCTATCAAAAATGTATGTTTTAACTTTCTTCTACAGTATGCGATAAGTTATCTAGGAGAAGTGTTAAGCATATGTTTTATACAATAAAATTAACCTTTATATTACTTTCTCATTTTGCTGTTGGAGAACTAAAGATCTGCAAAACCCTTCAGAAGCCATTAATTCCCTTTTCTTATAATAAAAAGCAGTTATGTTAAAGCCATTAATATTTGTAAACTGGTATCTTTGCTACTGTTAAATTACATGGCAAGAACCAAGGAAAGAAAATGTATGCTTCATTTCAAGATCAACCTTGACTATTAATCAATAGTCATCTCAGATCATACCTTAACTGAAAGATGACAGTATATGATTAAAACTACTTTTTCTATTCAAAATTACAGAGTACCTTTTTTGCAACTGACCTGTATCTATGGAATTACTTGGAAAACTTGCAACTGAAGTACAGTTGGTATTGTGTGGTCTGGCACGTGTTAGCTCCTTAGCATGTTCTGCCAACCGACTTTGGAGATCTTATTGTAAATAGAGCAAAACTTTTTCCACAGCAGTGCAACCACTGCCTTCAAGCTACTTGTAAAGCAAATACCTAACACCACCACCAAAACACAAATGCCCACACTTAAACTTACCTTGACAATAAACACCATTTTAAAACTCTCTCTTCTTTGACTTCTGTTGGGATTTTTTTTTTTTTACATTACTTTTAGACAATGTGTTTGATGCATTTAACCAATGTAATACACTTGCCTTCACAGACACTGGAGGGTTCCATTCACTCAAGCAGCATATATAACCAGTGCACCAGTATGAAACATCCCAGCAATGTAAACAAAAAATCAAGACACACAATTAAGAAAAACTAAGAAAATTTAATGATCAAGTGAGCTATATACATTGATGGCACATGACTTCCATTCAGTTATCCCCTTTCTAGAGCTGGAAGTTAAGTTTGATACAAAAATATCAACAGTCAATAGTACCCCAGGGATGAAGAAAAAAAACAAACAAAACCCATCTGTTGTTAAAGTGCATATTTGATGCGAGTTACAGCTAACTATAGTCCAGGGATATCAAAGGATTTCAACCCATCAGACAGAGAATATTGTACAGGAACATCCCAAATTAAGAGCACAGGAAAGTTAGATTTTAAATAATAACTGATATTTTACGTAAGATAGATACCCTTACATCTCTTTCCATTCTTTAACATTCTGCAAGATGGAATAAATTCTGCCTTTCTATCACTCTTCATATGCATTTCCTCAAGAGCTACTCAGATAAAAGTTCATTTAACTACACTCATCAGAATAGTGTTTTCTTCAGTACTTTACTGTTTCTTCTGCTTACTTCCTTTTTCCCTCTCAAACTCAGCTATTTGATTGAATATGTTAACCAAGTTCTGGGGCAGGTTTCTTTTACTGCCACTTTCTGTTTGTGCTGTACCATTTAAAGACATTTCCTCATCTGGTTCCTTGGTTTCATTAGTCTCCTCATAACTTCTTTTCCTATTCTTATACTCACTTTCATTTTTATGCTGACTGAACACATGCCTATCACTATCGTAACTTTTATCACCTTCACGTAAGCAGGTGCTAGAATACGATCTGTACTTTCCCACTGACTTCCCAGAATAGTCAGACCCTGCTGGAGACATGTAATACCTGTCTTGACCTGAGCCATATTTTTTAAACTGCTCTTTTCTCCCCTCTACATCCCTTTCCAATTTCCTAAAATAACGCATCCTGGGTTTATCATCTGACTTATGATATGAACCTGAAGAACCCCTCCGACTGGAGAAAAATCTATCTGTTTTACCATATTTTTCAGTCTTGCTACTACTTGGCAGAGTTCTGGAGCTACTGTAAGAATCTCTTGAATCTTCAGACCTACCTCCAAATGTGTCTTCATCATCACCTGAAGTCCTCGAAAAGGAACAGTGTCTGTCCTTCTCTTTTAACTCTGTTTTTGGACACACTAAGCTGTCCTGCCTTTCCAGCAGTTTTTCCACTTCAAAATTTTGGTTAAGAAAGGAAGCAGAGGTATCAGCCGGAGGCGAATACCACTCCTCTTTCCTAATCTGATCTTTGTAATGGGAAGAAGCTCTAGATGAGCATTTTTTGGAGCTGCGGGCAGACTCTGATCTATTCCGACGCTTTTTCCTACGCTTCTTGTGATCAGAGGAAGAGGAAGAAGAAGAAATTGATACATCTGATGAAGAATCACTTGAGGAGGAGGAAGAGGAGGAGGAGGAGGAGGAGGAAGTTGATACTTTCCTTTTCTTCTTCAACCTAAAAAATGTAATTAACCTGTGAGATAATCTTCAGTATCAGGCAAAAATTATATGTAGAAAGTAAATCTGTACTCCCCCAAGTTTGGCTGAGATTGGACTATAAGGCATGAATGGAAACTGAGCCTGACCTGGCAAGACAATTTCAAACATCATTTCTTTATAGAAAAATTAAGATTAAATCCACCAAGCAGTTTGTTATAAAATGCATCTTTCCCCAGTTTAATATGGCGTTACACTTTTAAAATACTTCACATTGCAAAGTATTTTTTAAACTATTTCTCTTCCACATATCTCTCCATTCAAGGTTATATGCACTAAAGAACACTACCCACAAAAAAAAATCTGGAGGAAAAGCAGCTTACCTAGGTAGAAGTTCTACCTAGCTTACTGTTGGACAATCTGTTTGGAAATGGATTGTTCCTAGTCTCATCTGCACTTATTGCCACATAATCAGTATACTGAATATAACAAAATTACCTTTTTTCTTCTTTTAAGAGCTTACGCAATTTTTCTGCACTTGTTTCTACTTTCTTTTCTTTCTGTCTCTCTTCTTTGGCAGCTTGTTTCTCCCTCATTTCCAAAGATTTCTTTTTTGAACCCAAGCATCATAAAAAAATGACATTAAAAGTGTTAACACGGGTATTTTTCCCCATGTCCCCAACCCCATTCAAATGTATAATTACACCAGGGATGTTTTACCAGGATTCCCAGATCAAGAATTAATATTGTTCAGGAGTTTGGCATTGGCCATTGTGATAATCAGGTTTACATTAAGGACCATATTGCAGTTTTTGTTCCATTAAAAAAATACATTTGACCAGCCATTGCAGTGGTACCCGTGATCCAGCACACCATGAAGCACGATGCCCAAAAGGTATAGATAGAATAGGCAAGAAAAGCACAATATTACCAACATGAAAAAGAGCAGAGAAAAAGAGCAGAGAAAAAGAGCAGAGAAAAAGAGCAGAGAAAAAGAGCAGAGAAAAAGAGCAGAGAAAAAGAGCAAGGTTTGAGGGAAAGTATCATTATTGTAGTTTACAAGTAAAATGTGCCAGAACCCATTTTAAAACATATTCAAGTTGGCCATGTTCAAATACAAACCGTTTTGTAACAATTTCACAGACCAGTTTGATGCATAGTTTATGTAACAAACCATGTTCCAAGGGTTTGTTGGTGATGAGCAGCACCAGATGTCAGATACAGCAACAACGGTCCAATTCAGAAGAAAATGCATTGGAGAAAAACACATAATCAGTATTACAGGAAAACTTACTTCAGTGTTGTTTCAGCTATTCTAGCACAACAGTGGTAATATCAGACTTACATATTAAAATACAGGTAAATGCAGAAGAGTACCTCACCAGATGAATAACACTTAAACTACTTAAGTCTATTAGAGATCACACTTCTGCCATCTACAGCCCTAAAGAGTAGCTCTATTCATATTCAGAGTGAGCAGAAAGTCTGATTATCATTTTCAAAACTTAGCAACTGTTTTAACAGATACAATAAAAGAAACCCTTAATTGCAGTTAAGGTTATGCAAATCAACAAGCAATAGCTAGCACTGTGGTTTTTTTATCTGCTGCATCAATGACCCATTATCCCAGGAAAATGCTAAAGGAGAGTAAAATTTGTCTCCTACTTGCTGAGAATGTTCTTCTTTATTTTACCTGAGACTGACACCTCTTTCTAAAGCAGCCAAATGTAGCTAGCACTCAAATGCCATACAATAGTTTATCTATGATGTAGTTTGGTTTTATTAAAAAGATTGTCATATCTCCTGTTCCCCCTTCTTTCCACACAACTTGTCAGCATTATGGCTACACCAGCTGAAGAAGTGTTGATTAAGGCCATCTACCCCAGTCTATGTGTAGAAGCACAGAATAAAACAAGCCTGTTCCTCAGTACTCTGTTTTACTCTTTGATCCTCTCTGGAAGGCAACATAAGTAAAGGAGGTAAATGAAAGAAGATGACAACTCTGATTAGCATAAAGACCCACCAGGGCTCACCTGGGAAACATGCTGTGTGCAAGAGAAGAGAGAAAAAAAAACAGCAGAGAAGAAAGCTAAGATAATCAAAACTGCCTGCCCACCCACCCTCCACCTCCTGCTGTTTTCCTTTAAATCACCTCTTAATTGCCCCTCTCATGTGATCTTCCTGTGGGTTAGCTTTGACTGGTGTTACTCTATCTTTTGGTCATTGCTCCAAACGACAAGGATATGCGTGGTACGATGGTGTGCAATGTTTATTTGGCTTGCCCAAGTATTTTGCACTTTGCATGTTTGTATTCACAGAATCTTTTAATTTAACATTATTAATCATGCTTGTGTGATAGAATATTCTTATCCTTCCTTTAGCTGGCAGAGTTAACAGCTTTGCTCTTTCACTGTCTCCACTGTGGCATTGCTTTACTATCCTGTTCAAAACAGTGGAGTCATCAAGAGGTACCTTTCTTCTGGTAGGTACAGCCATAATGCTCACTATAAAAGATTTACTGTGGAGAAGGGAAGCAGAGAATAAGACAAACCATCAACTTAAAACTCTCCCTGTTCAAAAGATTTAATAAGATTTTTGATGTTCATTTATTGTCACTGAGAGCACTATATGAAGAGAAAGTAAAGAATCACCTGCATATGCTTACGGAGTTTTGCTAAGGCCTCTTCTGCTTCCTGAAAAGTCTCATCCAAACTTAAAGCTTTTTTATAGTAATTCTCAGCATTTAGTAGTTTGTCTTCCTCTTCCAACCTAAAATTCAAGTGATAATTCAATATACAGTTAAGCCATGGATTTTGACAGGTTTTTTCTTATTTTTAGGACTACCTTTCTTATTTGCACTATAACACTACCACTGCATCCCTCCAAGACTTTATCTGTCATGTTAGCCCACCTGAGTAAAGAAATAAAATGGCATTTCTGACATTTCAATATCTCCTAATCATCCTCAGTAATACTATTCTTTGAAATTTCAATTCCAGTTTCAAAAATACTCTCTCTTCTTAACACAGGGCTTAAAAGAAATCTATTCCCTGAATATTCAAAAGTAAAGTTTTGTGTTATAGTGGCTAAGCAGCATTTCAGTAGAGTAACAGAACATCGTTTTGTTACAAATACTTTCTTTAAAAAAAAAACAACCTAAAACATGACAAACCTTATTGAAATACATTCAATCATTTCACAAGACTTTATGCAAGCCTGGTATGCTACCACTGAAAGGATATAAAGGATTAAACTTCAAATATTTTGCCAGGATTTTAACTGGGACAGAGAAGAAAGTGTAAACCAACTGCACAAGCAGGTATTTCCAACAAAGACTTTTTTTTTTTTTTTATTTTTAAACACATAGCCAGGAAGGAAATATGCTATTCTGTGTCCTAACTAGAACGGTATTAAAAATATATTACAAGAAAAATTGTTAACAACCGAACAAAACCACAACACTTACTGCCCGCCTCTTTCCACAAGTGTCTGACAGAGGTATTTTCTTGCATTTCTATGGGTAGGACAGTTTTCTAAAGCAATTTCAAAATCACCTATAGCTTTGTTCAGACTTCCTTTTGTTGCATACCTAGAACAACAGAAACGTTGCATGGATTTTAGGGATGTTTCTCTTTCATGAAATAGAAAAACCAGTGAAACAGACTTACAGAGCTCCACGTGCTACCAAAGCTTCAACATTTTGAGGATCAATTTCCAAAGCCTTGTTGTACTCATTCATGGCTTCCACATGGCGCCCAACCTTAAAATAATCAACCCCAGCCTTCACACTGAAGAAAAACATTTAGAAAATATTATGCACAGTTAGCCTATGCAAATCTCATACTGTTAATTACTCACAAATTATAGTTCCAAGCAAGCAATAGGTGATAAAACTTGACTTTGTTATCATGTACTTAACAACAGCATTTCAAATTAATGCGATATTGACATAATTCTCCAACAATATGTTGTCTTCAATCCAAAATCATTAGGCAATGGAGAGCATTTCTGCAGACAGTGCTACTACGTCACACTATTTTTCATTTACAGAATGAATATTTAAGCACTTTTCTTCACAAAACTCCATGTGTGACCTACCACCATTAAACTGGAACAGGCTTAATTAGATCCAAAGCTAAAAATCACCATTAGACCAACAACACAAGGTGAGATGGGTAGATGGTACATGCTGAAACCAGTTCATCTCAAACTGGAATATTTTGAGATTTTATACTACATATTACCTGAGCCTTTCTTCTACATTTGCCAAGATTAACTTCTTGGAAGATACCTGATATGAGTTGAATTTCAGAACTTTTAATTACAGACTTTTTTTAAAAATTAAAATTTATATTTAATTTAACATTATAAGCAACTTTTTCTGCAATTAAATCAAAGTTGCAAAACACTACTGTTTTAAGAAAAACACTGCTTTGTTAGCATAGAAACCAGAAATTCTGAGGCTTCACTCAGATATTTTTGGTTTTGTTTTGGGTTTTTTTTTTTTTTGAGCTGATAGATTCAAGACAAGTTTTTCCACAAAAGATTTACATTTTTAGGAGAAAAGTCTCTCTTTCTTCTGCCTCCTCCACCCTGTGGAATGCCCAAATACACTGCATAGTGTAAAAGCAATAGAACTTATCCAAAGCTGCTGTTCCAAACGCAGCCAGGGAAATACATTTAACTTCTCAAAAACAGCAAGTGCACTTGTTAAATCTACAGTTTGAGGCTTAAATGGCACGACAAGCAGTATTAGGTCATTCAACACCCAATTATAAAATGGAAAATTGTGTACTTGGTATTGTCACAAATCTCGCTCTCACCTCATCAATGGGCCAACATATTATAAATATTCTAAGAAGTTCTCCCTTGAACCTGACACGTATTTTAGAAATGAATCTCGAGACTTTATCTATCACATACCCACTTAGCACTTAGGGTTACTTTCAAGAAGATCTTCCTGGTCACATGAGTACACGTGTGGTGAAAGAACTGGTTCAATGTGTATTTTCTTTTAAGAAACATGACCTGTAACCTAACCTAACATTAAGCTCTGACAAGAAAAAGTATTGCATACCATTTCAAGGCCCAAGATGCAGATTGCTTTTTCCTCAATGCAGGAGCAAAATCTTCTTCATTGAAATTTTTACTTTAAGGAAAAAACAAACAAAAACATCAAGTTGGCCTTCTGAGTCTAGAAAATTAAACTTACGATACATAATGCAGTTGAAACAAGCTGAAATATTATTTATACAATACTTTACTGCTCTCCCTCAGTCAGGAACGTTGTTTCATATTTCTGAAACCAGTTTTTCCCAATTCATTCTAAAAGTACCTGCTTGAACCAGTACAGCTACAGTACATTTAACAAAAATATACCATATTTACACCGGCTTTGGGGCCTAATATGCACAGGGCTCACAACATCCATCATTGTATATTTTTGAGCCTATTTTACTAAAGAGGTCAGATCTATTACTAAAATAAAGATTGTGAATAAACATCTGACAGAAAACATTAAAACTTAAAACATCCTGCATTTCAATCCAAAGACACTGACAACATCTAAGCAATAAATTCCTGAAGTATTTGGTATCAAACATTTTGTGTGATAAGGTATCTTGCTTATTCAGAGCAAAAGAATTTCCAATGTAAATTTCTTACTCTAGAGGAGTTTGCTTTTAAATATTTAAAGGACACGTAAGCTGCAGTTATGCAAATCAAAATGAAAAAGGTTTAAGTATAAGTGGTCTAGGACTTCCGCTCACAAGTCTATTTCAATGGATTAGAATAATCTCCACAAAGCTATAGGATAGGAACAACGTAAAAATCACTTACATTTGAAGACTTCGCATCAAAGACGGTGGATTTGATTCACTTAGCCCTAGTTTTTCTGCTAAATACTCAACTAATGATGGATTAGCAAATCCTGGGGAACGATGCAAAACCTCTTCAAATGTCTCTGCTGTATTAGCAACTTCCATGCTTCGCCTTAAAAAAAAGCACCGATGTACACAAATACAACCTCACAGGCACTATACTCAATTTTATGATGATTATATTTAGAATAAAAATGCCTATATTGATATTTATTACTGCTCACAAGCAGTTCTCTTTTACAGGCATGTATTTTCCTACTATTTAGCAAGCCTCATATCCTTCAGCCTAGGCAAGCTTTTGAAACCTATTTTGGCACCCATTGAGATATCTCCAGGACATAACAGAATAACAGAATGGCAGAAAGGTTTAGGTTGGAAGGGACCTTCAAAGACCATCTAGTCCAACCCCTCTGCCATGGGCAGGGACATCTTTCACTAGATCAGGTTGCTCAAAGCCCCCTCCAACACACAAAAACATTACAAAAATTACAGACAGCTGTGTCCTTCTGTTTTCTAAGGGTAGTTTCAAAATTTTAAGAATTTCATATTCCAGTCTCCCAAGAGTTTTGTTTCTTGTTTTTTTGTTGTTGTTGTTTGGGTTTTTTGGGGGTTTTGTTGGTTTTTTTTCATTAACACAGTCCCACAGTGACAAATACCTCACTCTGCTTTTTGCTTTCCGTACGTTTTGGGAAAGATGCTGAAAGACCAGCCACACCTGACGTATCCAGAAACAAGTATGTTAGAGACACGAACAACAAAAAGTATGTAATAATCCAACTAAATCAGAAACACCATTGTTTAAAGAGCAGTCTGTCAAAGATGCTCTAACAAACACACTGAACACGCCTAACAAGTACAGCTGAATAGCATATTCTTACCTATAATGTAATGGGAAGTCATCGGAAGTAATTACACCTAGTTTTGTACTGGAAAGATTGGGTGGAAGAGCCGAGCTGTAAAGTGACACCGTGAGCTTCTCATGGTAACGATCAATGTCCTTGATTGCAGCTATAG